CCCCCAGATTATAAGTTAAGACGTTTGCACCGTCAAAACCTTTCCACGACTCAGACTCCGTGTAACTGTATCCCTTTGTCTCAATGTCTAAACTTAATGCAAGGGATTAATAAAATCCAGCTTGTATCCATTAAGTCATTCACTGATTTATCAAGTCTGACTAATAGGAACAGACGTCATAAAAGCATCTCAGCATGGCCATGCAGTTTCCTCAGTCATGACTTATCAGTGGGCCCCATAAGACATTAATCTCTTTAAAAAAAGAGTAGTGACAAATCCTATGTACGTAATCTACGTTTCTGAATACGCACTGCGGCATACCCAAAACAAAGCCTGTATACCATCCTTATTTCATATGGCTTAGGACAATGCATCAAAGTATGTGGGTTCACATATGCAGAAAACGTAATACTTCAAGTCGAAGGATAGTTACACCCGTGGTCGCGCTAAAGATGTTTAGAGCATGAACTAAAAGTTCAAGCAACATCTTTAGGATGGGTCAGTCCGGCATCCTATTATCTCTAGATAATATCTGCCCATGTGCGGATGCGAACACACCGTCATTGACTATGAGACTAAGTCAAAACATCCAACACACACTAGTCTCACATGCATTAACGATATCCCACTCTCGTTAATACTCGACTATGGACATTTAGATAAATATTTATTTCAAGATGTTAGTCTCATCAGCAGAAAAACCCTATCTGATAAACATCTTTTAAATATAAATCTAGGAATATAATATTTGTTTACATTAGCATGAGATGTGTAAACATATTATATCTGCCTATACATGATAGAATAATGATAAATAGTTGGCCATCAGGGCACAACTCCAACAAGGAGCACACCAAATTTTATCCTGGTTCACCACAACGTGTGGCTAATCCAGCCCCCCAAGTGACTCTCTCGAGCTACACTAACTCCGTTAAGCTTAAGGGTGCTTAACAAACCGATACAACTTGAGAACTCGAGTCACACGAGCCTCAACACCTTTGCTCGGAGATACCGCACTCCAAGACTTCTCACGAAGGAACAAGGAACTTCCTTTGAGTTTACAACAAGGGAACAACCTCCCTTAAAGTGTATGAAAACACTTAAACACTCAGGAATAAAACTCTCACAAAGAGTAGATATGAGTGAACTAGTAAACGCTCAAGAACACGACAATTTCTTCAAGAATTGGCTCTCAAATAGCTAAGAAAAA